ACACACACACACACACACACACACACACACACACACACACACACACACACACACACACACACAATTATAATATGAAATGACATGTTTATTTATCCTTAGCTTCTATCTGCAACATACATATCATGAATACCCTATGGTTTCCCCCTCTCCCCTTGGTGACCAACTTGTTTTTCCTTTCATCCTTCCAATGCATAAACATAGTTGCCTATTAAAACATTATACTCTCAGTATAACAATGATTCGCCTATATTCTCAAGTGTCAATCTGCTAGATAGGAGGTAAGGATGTTTTGGAGGACTTGCCTCTCTCCTATATCAATGGTGTCGAGCGCATCGGTCCGACACCGCACAAAACGGGGCGGGACACTCCCGGTCACGCAGGGGTTGGTCTTAATCCTCGTCGCGAATACACATGGAGCTTCCGCAAGTCGCTCCGGCCGAGTGCGCCATCCATACCTCTCACGAGCCCCTACGACAGGATATGGCCTACTCGAGGTACGACTTGCCTCCACCTTGCGGGGGTTGTCACCTCCCTTCGGTGGGCGTATCCCCGCCGAGCTATCAGTCCACAGTACGAAAGTTAATCAGTTGCAATCACAGAGGTGGCCCAGCCGAGGGCGTTTCTCGTACGTTGTAGCACGGTTTTACGCCTGTATCAGACCCGCACGTGAATCAACATCTTGGGGGACTGAGTTCCCAAGCGAGACTCGTCACCGGTCGACTAGGACGCATCCCACACACCATGCGCATAGTAAAAACTCATACACATACATGTACACGAAACGACACAGAACAAACAACACTACATCACTCATAGTCCCTTAGTGGTCATCCCATAACTCTTCGACGCGGAAATCGGATAGGCGTCACTCGCGAGACTTTAGTATAAAACCGCGTGGACGCAGGGCTAACTCATATCGACGAGCAATGCATGAATACACAAGCAGTCGCAATGATGACGTACTATGTAGTACCCATAATCTAGCGGTCCTTCATGGATCCGAGTACCGCTTATGACACTCAAGTGTTAAACTCGAAGTATTGTGAGGGTCTACCCCTTCACGATATTACACGGCTGAAGGAATAGTGGTGCGGCCTCCGCTTTAGTCTCCAATTGTATATGGATTAATATCATACATAATGAAGTTAGCAACGAAGAGTAGACATAGAGAATTACCATCAGATAATAATAGAATAGATTCATCCTAGACTTTCTCCCCCACAAGCACATTACATGTAATTCATGAATGTATGAAGGTCACGAAGTGGGAGAGGCAGGATTCGAACCTACGTAGAAATATAACCTTTAACGAATTCACCTCCGGTCTTTAGGTTGAGTGTCTCGGCAGGCAGGGCAAATATGCTCTGCGCGGGGGGTGATCCCTTCCATGCAGAGTCGAGGACCTAGGATGTCCTGGACAAGGATCTTGAATCCAGTCCCAGAACCAACGTCCGACTAAGAAATCTTTTAAGAAGTACTCAACAATAAAGATGGGGTTTTCTCTCCTTTCTCAATCTCGACCCCAATTAAACCCTTAAGCGTGTGCCCCTCAGACCACGCGAACACCCAATATAGGTACATACATATATATGTGTAAAGAGGGAATAAGTATGTGACGATCATTTTTCACAATCACAGTGAGACGCCTCACAATCATATATATGTGTGTGATTGCAAGCAGTCAAATCCAAAATCCGAACCACAGAACATACGTGCAATCACATCAAAGAGTCAACCAAAGTCCACGCACTACACAGAGTCAACTTCAACCAATCTCTATACTCATACCCCTCGCTTTAGTCATGCAAGCCTCAACCTTTGTCCAACCAACCACATTTAAATACTCAGTACCTTTGTAAAATGGTCATTCAATAAAAGTTTGGGTGAGAACCTTAATAAAACAACAGAAATCACCAGGGCTAAAGTCTTTTAAGTTGAGTATTGAGGATGAACTGGAGTTAAGTCGTAGACCGACGAATCGGCAACCGACCTGTTATCAGTGATAACAGAAGGTGATTCTTGTTGGATCAAGTTGAATTTAGTCCTGATTCTCGAATCAAATGTTCAAGAGCACTTGTAACACAAGACAGGTCAATCCCCAAGCTAGATCTATGAGTCCAAATCGAGAGTAATCTTCATATCATGATTTCATCAATAATCATTCTACTTAACTAATCCTGACTCGGAGTCTACCTCTAAGTTAGTACTTAAAGAAAAGGTAGACCTTTGGCAGAATCTCCTCTATACAGAGTGGATTGCCAGAATTGTCACCTGTCACAATATAATCTAACTCTTCTAAACTAAGAAAATATTGGCAGCGCTTCCCATATGAAAAGTGTCTTTCCAAAATTTATAATAACTCAAATATGAAAACAAAAACAAAACTTTAATTTTGGAAAGTCAAAATTTGTCTAACTCTCTGAATTAGTAAACATGTGGGCAACATTTCTTTTAGAAAGGTAGGCTTCCCTAATTTATACTAAGTCAGATAGGAACTCAAAAGTTAGACTTGAGTTCGACTTCAAGACAAATTTCAACTGACCCCCGAGATTTGTTGAAATTTCGGCAGCGCTTCCCGCAGAGAAAGAGTTATTCCAAGATTTATACAAAATTAAGTTCAGAATCTAAAATGACTTTGACTTCTCAAGGTCTAATTTTGTCCAACTCCCTTAATTAGCAAAAATTTGGGCAGCACTCTCTTTAGAAGAGGAGGTTTCTCAGATTTTTACTAAGCAATTTTTTTTTTTTTAAATTGGACCCTGAAAAAGATAAAATTTGACCAAATCCTTGGTTTTGTAAAAATTTCAGCAGCGCTTCCCGTAGAGAAAGTGATTTACCAAGATTTTACCAAGATTTATACAAGACTAAGTATAATAAATGATCCCAAAAAATGCAGAAATTGACCTAAGTAAAATAAACTTAGCTAAAAAACTGCAGGAATTGAAACTACCTCTTATGGCTCTAGCACGTGGCGAGCAGTTAAAGCAACTACCTATCGAAATGAAACTTGGACTAAGTAGTGATCTCATTTAACCACATGCAGACCAAACCACAAAGGTAAGTACTCTCACCAACCCCACGTCAACTTTTCAAATAATAGTTCATAGTCTCTCAATGCTTTATCCCTTTATACTCAGCTTACATAGGGCATAAAGCTACACCACCCAAACTTATGGAACATGTCTAGCTCAGTCATTGAGTATACACAAACATAGGGCACAACAACTTTTCTCTTCTTTTGGCATATGACTAGGCCACCCTAGTCGCCCTGAACTGTTTAAGTATCCCAACTTTATATAATTATCTGCACTTAGTCTTTTGAGGTAACATATCACTGAACCGATCATCTTTAGCGCAAAATTCAGCTTTCCCCTTCGTACCACAAATTTATTTTTAATTAATACTTTCTTCAGTTGGTGATAAGCTATAGTCAGAGCACCCAAACTTATGGAACCCTTTCTGACTAGTCTGTTCATAAGTAGGATAGTAGTAAAGTGTAGTCAAGTTATAGCCTTCTGGTTCCAGCATGTACGTGGCGTTGGACCAAGACCACCCAAACTTATGGAACATGTCTTGATCCTCAGTCTGGTTCATTTATTTTAAAACCAAAGCAGGAAGAGGCTGAGCCACCCAAACTTATGGAACATATTCAAACCTCCTCGTTCAGAATAAGAAGAAACTGAAAGAAAACCCAAAGTAAACAAAGACCAAGCCACCAAAACTTATGGAACATGCTTGGTCCCTCAAAAGTCAATCACAGTCAGCCCTCACAAGTCAGAGCAACCAGACCACCCAAACTTATGGAACATGCTTGGTTCTCTAGTCAATTCAAAATAAACATAGCACTGGGTCTCCCCAAACTTATGGAGACTTGCCCAGCCTTTGATTGACCCAGTCAAACTCACGCAAAACTGTCTTTCTCCCATCCTTCCCCCAGATGCAATCTCATAATCTGCTTTCAGTCAATACAACAAAAACTGCAACTGAATTTGCACAATCATTCCTTTATTAAGTCTGGGGTATATTCTGAAGTCAAACTGAAAGTCAAAGTAAGGGTGCACACAACATACTCAGTCAAAACGCAATAGAGAATACAGATAAGGGTTATAACTGGGTTTATAGAGGGAAGCAAATGGTTACCTTTCAGTTCTCTGCCTCCAGAACTCCTCCCGAGTTTCGGCAGAGCTCCCACAATCGGTGGGCTGACTCCCCATAGTGTCTTATTGCGGTCCTACGGGTTGCAATCCCGCTTGCCGCCTTCCTCTCTGAACAGGACTAGACTAAGATTAAGAAGGGCAAAAGTAGGGGTTCGAGACTCTCAAGATATAGGAGGGGGACAAACTCAATTCCCAAGAGAGGGTCTTGATACCTTCACTCGCCTGAGGGCCCCGCAATGGTGGTCAGAATGCGCAGCAGTCTGGTCAAACTGAAGTCAAATGTCGACTGTTGACCCTTATGACGGTCTCCCAATCTT